CAGGGGTAATTTTTCCACGAGTAGTTGTAAATTGGCTGTGTCCACGGGAGGAGGTGAGTTCAGAGTCTGCCTACGCCGCCATCTTGACTCCGCCCCCCTCCTCTGCTTTTGATATGTAATCAATTTAAGGTCACCAGAAATAGCTTCTAACCAACAGTTTCACTCCAACGTGTCTGACATGTGCTGTCTAAAATGGGACCAAGATAATATGACGATTGCTTTCTGAACTACTATTTCCTCTATAAAAAGCACCCTTTATGGGCAGATAATCTGTGACAAGCTTGACTTTTTTAGGTAATTTCTCAAAGTGACAACCCTGCCATATCTAATTTATTATTTTTTTTCCCCCAATCTACGTGACTGGAATCAGCCCGAATAGTTAGGTCTCTTCACATCAAATAAGATGTTCTAACATTAATGAAGGATAATTTTATTTATTTTGATTTTAATTTTATTTAATTTTTAAATAGGCAATATATTCATATGGCTCAAAATTCAAAAGGCATAAAAGAATATTCATTGAAAATTCTCTCTTCATCCCTGTCTTTCAGCCACCCAGTTTTATTTCCTGGGACAACAATGCCACTTATTCCTTGAGTGTCCTTCCAGAGAGTCTATGCTGCACGTACAAAAATATGCATCTATGGATATAGGCACGCTATATGCTGGGGACCCTCTAAAGAGCTTTGTAGAATGTGCCTCATAGTTGCCTGACTTCCCGTGTGGTGTTAACTCCCTCATACTTCCGGATTGTGCACGCAGCAGAATGACTGAGTGGTTTCCACAGGTGTTCCAGGCAGTAGCAGCAGAGAAACCGTGGGGCGGAAAGTGGTAGGTGGCTGGTACAGCTGAGGAGAGATGCCATGAAGCTACACTTATGCTGATGTGGTTCCTGAGTGACAGCCTGTAATAAACAACTTGAGCCAAGAGGACATGAGAAAATGCATGAGAGATGTCCAACACAGACTGAGTATGCACAGACCATCATAGTTAAAGAGAGGACAGGAAACAGTTGTTGGTACTGAGATTCTAGCATGAACTCAGATTTTAATAAATTCCTATAATTCTAGAAAGAGACTCATCTTGAGAATTTTCACTCCATGGATTGGCTTTTCCTACTAGGCTTTCCTAGTAGGCTTTTTTTTTTTCATCAAACATATAACATAAAATTTACCATTTTAACCATTTCTGAGTGTACAGTTCTGTGGCATCAAGTATATTCACAGTGTTGTGCAACCTGGTAGATTTTTGTAGAAGAAGTGCACGGTAGAAATTTTCAAATTTTTGCTCATGTTGAAAGTTGCTGTTTTATACCTTATTTTTATTACTTAGAATACCCATATAAGAGAAAAATGTATGACTTTGAAGCCTTTTTGTGAATTTGCCTTCTGCAGATCCAATGTCATGAAAATTCACTAAAAGATAGTGTTATGTCTGGAATTCTAAAACTCCAGAAATGGCTGAAAAATTCCAGGAGCAAAAGTGATTTAAAATGGCCGTTATTTTACTCATTGTTTGGAGAAGTGCCATTTTTTGAAGTGTCTGGACGTGCATTATTGGTGCTATTGCTAAGTCTGGGCACTGCCAAACTGTGCAAAGATCTTTCTCTTAAACAAAAAGAGTGATTGGTTGATCCACAGCTGGAGTTGGCCTTGGATAAGCTCTTTATGAACTACTACACCAACCTCAGATTGTGTTGATGACAATTGGTAGAGATAGGATGTGTCTTTTGATTATATAATCCTTAGAAAAAATGTATCTTTCTATCTTTTAGTGAGTTTGTGTACTGGCTGATATAGACACTATTTTTCTCCTTTAAATTTACAATTTCTTAAAACATGCCTTGGGAAAATGCCTAAATGGTTTCTAATAATTGGCTATTTCTAATGCAATGAATACTTAATACTGGAATAGTAAATTCTAAGAGTGTGAAGCATTTTCTTCTTAAGAAGCATTTGAACCTTCCTCTCACCAGGATGGATGAAACTCCTCTCTAATGGTGCCACACTGCACGTTTGTAAACTCATATTTCCGCAGCGTCTAGTCTGTGTTATTGGTAGACATACGCGCTCAGCATGTGTACAAAGACACATTCATACATACAAATCACTAGTCCAGGGTCTTGACAGAAAATATTTGTCAAATGTCTTTTCTAATTATAAATAAGACTTCTATCCATCTTGCATACACAACAATTTATAAGAATTGAGGTAAAATTGCAGGTTCCTACCTTAGCCTGTTTAGGCTGCTATAGCAGGATACCATAGACTGAGTGTCTTATAAACAACAGAAATTTATTTCTCTCAGTTCTGGAGGCTGGGAAGTCCCAGATCTAGGTGCCAGCAGATTTGGGGTCTGGTGAGAGCTTGCTTCCTAGTTCATAGACGGTTCTTTTTGCTATGTCCTCATTTGGTGGAAAGGACAAGGTTGCTCTCTGGGGTCCCTTTTATAAGAGCACTAATCCTTTTCATGAGAGCTCCATGCTCATGACCTAATCACTTCCCAAAGGCCCCACCTCCAAATACTATCACATTCGGGATTAGCTTTGAACATCTGAATTTTGGTAGGACACAAACATTCAGTCTACAGCAGTTCTTAAAGCATCTTGTCTTGGGGGTTTTACTTATGACAAAATTTTACTCATCTCACATGCTCATGTTAATAGTCTAATCTTTCGAGCTCTTTGGGGAAATAACTTGCTACCATGTTCTCTGAACATGTGGCCTTTCTTAAAGAATCTGCGCTTAGGGGGCTGGCCTGGTGGCGCAAGCGGTTAAGTGCGTGTGCTCCGCTGCGGCGGCCCCGGGGTTCACGGGTTCAGATCGCCAGTGCGCACTGAAGCACCGCTTGGCAAGCCGTGCTGTGGCGGCGTCCTATATAAAGTGGAGGAAGATGGGCACGGATGTTAGCCCAGGGCCAGTCTTCCTCAGCAAAAAGAGGAGAATTGGCAGATGTTAGCTCAGGGCCGATCTTTCTCACACACACACAAAAAAGAATCTGCTTAGTAGTTTTGACTATACAAATGGAGCATAAGTATGATTATTCAATGCCTTTGGCATGTCTGAACTAATCTGAGGACATTACTGTGTCTGAGATTTCTTATGTTTTACCAAAGATCAAGAGAAATAGGCTTCATGTTATGAGGAGCACAGGTATTAGCATCTCCCAAGTTATTTCTGTGTTATGTCTCGTGGATTAGAGTCTTTATTTTGGCCATTGAAATAGCAATGAATTCTGTCAAAGAATATTATTAGAAGACTTGATTATAACTTTTATAAACAATGCTTAAGGCGCTGTTTCTCAATTTTGGCACTATTGACATTTTGGGCCAGATAATTCTTTATTGTGGGGGCTGTAGGATGTTTAGCATCCTGGCCTCTACCCTCTAGATGCTAGGAGCTCCTCTCCAAGTTGTGACAACCAAAAATGTCTCCAGATGTTCCCAAATGTCCTTTGGGAGGTAAAGATGCCCACATTTTTTAGAACCACTGGAAATAATTTGATACCAGTTGCTAAATAGGTGCTATTCCGAGTCCTCCAAATTCTTCTCCTGCCCTCTGTCTCCTCCACGTGACCCATTTCCCACTTCCCCACTATGTAGAAACTCAAGGATTAAAACTGGCATGGCGAGGGGACTCCAAGATCTGCCTTTTCTATTGTTAAATTTTATTATCTATCTATTATTATTTATTGATTTTATTATTTACATTTCTTTTGTTGTCACCCCTTCATACAACTCAGAAGCAATGAGGCCCATCACACCTCTCAGTTTACATTCGAGTCCTAGAACAGAAAGTTAGATTAATTCCTTTAATTTGTTGTCTTGATAGACAAATACAATATATTTCCCTGTTATACACATTATCCCTCTTCGAAGATGACTGAGCTCTCCTTACGCTGATTGCATGGTAAACCATATTCCGGCTGGAGTTTGGTTCTAAGATGGGCTTGTTTTGAGAATCAATGGAAAAACACTCAGAGAGAAATTGCTAGGCAAACTTACAATGTAAAAATAACTCCAGCTGAGATGATACCAAAAGCTGTGTGAGCTTGCACATAAGAGAGTCAATGATAGACCGTGCTTGGAATCCATCCGCAGGATACTTAAGTCATTCATTGACAAGTGGCTCCTGCTCGTCCACAGATCCGCAGACACTGACACGTGTATTTATTCAGTAGTCACCACGGATCTCAGCCTATATTCTTATTTATAGGATTATTGAGCATTTGAATATTTTCTTGTGGGTTCCTTGGATTTCAAAGAATTCTCTTTTGTTTGAATCTGAAAAAAATCCACTTCTGCTTATGCCTTACACTAAGAATTATTGACCAATTTTCTGAAACTCTGAACATTAAAAAATTTCCTTAAGGGGGCTGCCCGGTGGCACAGCAAAGTCCACGTGTTCTGCTTCGGTGACCCGGGGTTCACCGGTTTGGATCCTGAGCACAGACCTACTCACCGCTCATCAAGACATGCTGAGGCAGCATCCCATATAGAAGAACTAGAAGGACCTACAAGTAGGGTATACAACTATGTACTGGGGGCTTTGAGTAGAAAAAAGAAAAAAAAGAGGAAGATTGGAAACAGATGTTAGCTCAGGGTCAATTTTCTTCAGAGGGGGAAAAAAAGAAAAAGCTAAAAAAATTTACTTAAAATATGTGAAAACAAATATTTTATTCATTTTAAAAATTTATTTATTAAATTGTTATTTAATAAATAAATTTATTGTTATTTAATCAAATTATTTATTGATTTCTCTATAGTTAAAATTTTAAATAACTACTCCTGATTTCCTGATTATAAAAATCCATGGACTATTTATCCTGAAAGTAATAAAAGAAAAAGAAATGATAGTACTCTTTCATCTAAGAACCCAGAGATGACAATTTTCAATCTTTTTTATATATTCTTCTGGATTTTATATACAGATAATATTTTTGTTAAAAGCAAAATGGGAGCACACTCTAAATTCTCCTTTTTCTGCTTAATATAACACGGACATAAAATAGTTTTGTGTGATGCATTGGTGGTAGCTATAGAGTATTTGATTGTATGGATGATGATTATGCAATTAGCTTTATTGACGTATAATTATAGTGATTTTATTTTATGTTATATTCAACATTGCAATTATGATTCTCGTGCATGCATCTTTGTATATTTGTCCTATTATTTCCTTTAGATCATTTCCTCAGAGTGAAAACACCGAGTCAAAAGATATACACATTTCGCATTTCGGTGTCGTGTTACCAAACTGCTCCCCAGGATGATCTGCCCAATTTACGTTCTATTAGGACATGAATGCGCCTTTTCCCCACATCTTTACTAGACACATATCTTTGGAAATAGGTTTTCAATACCTATTTGGTGGTTAAGAAAGCCACCAAAATTTTGAAATCTTGAATTGGTCTAGTTTGACTGTAGAAGTTTGTGATTGTGTTTTATTAAGCAATGATCATAAAATTCAACATCTTCCCAGGTGAAATCAGCTTAACCCATAATCAAAGGTTGTCAGGGAGTCCAGAGAGAGATGAGAGAGTGAAATATATGTTGGCCATTGAGAAAAACGACTGTGTCAATTTACCTTATGAGAATAGGTCAACTCTATAACTGAACCGCTTTGGTTTAAGTTTTTCCCTTAGAAATTCTGATGAAGAGCAATGATGGTATTAAAGTATTACATTATTTTTATCACATTCAGTGACAAAGAAATACCTCAGCCTCACTTTATAGTGCTTCCTCTGATGGAGTTATTTTTGAATCCTTTTTCTCTACTTGCTTTTTAGAGGCCAGAGTCCAAGTGAAACACAGTTTGATTCTGGGTTTGATGTGAAATGGTTTCCAGAAACCAGGCCCACAGCTCTCATTTAAAAGATAATGACTTTAGCTGGGCATAGGGCCCTCTCCTCTGGTGGAGTGAGACCCAGCCTCGGACTGGATCTGGGCCGAATGGCAGCCAATGACACACTGGACTTCAATTTTATTGTCCCAGGCAGCTCCTGTGGGAGAGTCCATCCCTTGTGACTTTCTCTCTTACCCCCTTCCCTGATTCTTCTACAAAGCCCAAAGGACAAAGCCAATTTGCTTTCAGAACTAGCCTTGTGAGTGGACTCCCTGTAACTTTTTTTGAGGCGGGGGTAATGGAATAAGAAACCAAAATTTATCGAACACTTACAATATTCTAGCACTGTATGGAACTTCTCATTTCATCTTCATAACAACAACGTGAGATAGTATACTAGTCAGGGTTTTCCAGAAGACAGAACCATAGGATGTGTGTGTGTGTGTGATATACACACACACATACACAATAGTGCTTTGTATATACACAACATTTTAGAGCTTTTCAGATACCTTTCTTACCCTCTTCCCTCTTTTCAGGAAAATTAGAATATTCTGTTTTTCATCAGCTATATCTTAGGAAATTGGGTGATTTGGCAATTTCAATATTGAGTTCAATTAATTTTCATTCTGTATGTATTGAAGAGCTTGCATGTTCTGTCATGCCACTCAGAAATATAAAATGGGAAATTTAAAAAGTCAAAAATCAAATGGGTTACTTCATTAGAATATAATCATTCAACCCCTAAATTATCATGTTTTGGCTCTGAGTTAGGAGGCGGTATAGTTATTTCAGAAAAAGAAGTTTGATTACACAGATAGCAGTTTTATTTAAAATGTCCACATTTATCTTCTTTCCTTTGACTCATCTTATACGGATAGCTTTGAGAGAAAGCTGGAAAATGCCATGAATTATTGACTCAAGGAAAATGCTAATCTTATAATGAAAAACACTGTAGCTATTTTCAAATTTGAGGTCTTCCTTTGAGTTTTTATGTAGATATGGGATTAAAATCTGGTAATTGACGTAGGACACATTTGATTTGTTTATACATTTTATTTTGTAGTTGACTAATTTGGGGATGAACAATGATTTATATTCATAAATATATGATGGATTCTCTAGATTTTGACATCACCTCCACATCCATCTGCTACTGTGACTGCTTAAATGAGCATCAGACACACACCAAATTGCTCATCATTGGAAATGTAGAGACTGTTGAAAATTCATAGCAATAAACCAAAAATTTCTACTTTTGGAAGTGTACACACTCCTTAATTTCATTTTAAAGGGGAAGAATAGCGAAATAATATTTCCCATTTTTACTTTATATCTGCCCAAAGGCAGGCACAAAGGATACTAAATATACCCCACAAATTGCAATACCTTTAAGAAGCAAAAGGCCCCATGTTACTTGTCAGTTCTGGTAGAAAACTGGTACAACATTCCAGAAGAACCTTCCTAAGAACCAAGGACTTAGCAGTCCTCATACATGTTTAGTTGTCTGACACAACCCTTCCTGTCCCTATCCGCTGGCTATAAAATGAATAACATTGACGTGTATTTTTGTGTAGTATCATAGAGATAAACATTCAGAAGCACAGACAGAACCACACAAAGAACCTAATTCTCCAGTCCAGGAAACAACAAATAGTGTGGCAGAATATTTCAGAGAGAAGACCTAAGAGCTTTTTAAAATGAAGATGAATTTTCAAGACCTAATCTTGTGCTGGGAAGTTTTCTTTCTGGGTGTGCCTCTGGTGGGCAGGCTAAGAAGCGCTGGGTAGAGCTTGTCCAGTGTTCTCCAGGCGTTAGGGGACATCTCGAAGTGAAAAAACAACTTCGGGGAACCATAACTCTCCACTTTGAAGTACTGCTGATTTTATTCCAGTACCACCTTTCTGAAAGCCACTC